AGCCACTCCAAACTCCCCTGTCTAAACAGCGTCCTAAACACCATGGAAACCTGGCCAGATTCTGGCTGTGCATTAACAGGACTCTGTCAGCTCCAGCTTGTTTCCAGTGCCCTGGACCCAGGCGGGGCCGGGCTCCGCTCTCCCTTCTGCCTGAGAGCTCCTGACCAGCATCCCCAAGACCACCCACCAGTGAGGGAGAATCTGAAACCCCACGGGCCCCTCCAGCCTATGAACCAGCCAAGGACCAGGGCAGAGTCCCGAAGGCCTGCTTGTGGCCCACGTCCTCGCTCAGTCCCTAGGGATGGCCTGAAAGGAAGCCCACAGCAATGGCATGCTCTCATTACTGTGCTAACACTGAGCCCGTACGGCCGGTGCTTCTCACACTGAGCAGGCCTAAGAGCCACAGGGAGGGCCTGTTAAAGCAGACCACCAGCCCCACCCAGAGCTCCGGAGTCGCCGTTCCCAGCCCAGGGCCACGTTCTGAGCACCGGCCGGTCTGCCTGTTCCATGGACTGCAGTTAAGAGGGGCTACCTGGTAAAGCAGGGGTGGCGGCCTAGAGCCCTACTGACCCAGCCCCCCCATGGCTCCTCTCTCTGAAACCACAGGGTCCCCACCCTGGAGCCCAGGACCCCAGCTGGACCCCAGCCCTGCTGACCCAGCCCCCCGTGGCAGCCACAGGGACCCCACCCTGGAGCCCAGGACCCCAGCTGGACCCCAGCCCTGCGGGACGGCACGTGTGGAGCTGAGCCCTTACTTTCATTGCAAACGCTTTGCCACACCCCGCGTGTTCACACAGAAATGGGCGCTGCTCCTCGTGGAAGGACAGGATGTGGTTCTGCAGGTTGAACACAGTCGTGTAGGTCCTTCCACAGCCCTCTCTCGGACAGCGACACACATCCCGTTCTGGGGCATGCGTTTTCATGTGTTGCTTAAGATAATCTTTGCGTTTGAACGTTTTCCGGCATACTTCACACCTGATTTCCTCTGGAGGCAGACAAACAGACATACTCGATTACTCCAGATATCACCATATGGGAAACGTGAAAACAGAACGTATAATGGTCAGTACCTAAAGCCGCAGGGCCATACACAAGTCAGGAATGTCAGCGGAAACCCTAACAGTCACCCGAGCGGTTACTGACTCCTTTCCCCCAGGCTCTGTTCTCGCTTGCTGAGGAGAAAGGGCTGTCGGAGAGTGAAACGGACCAGGTACAAGCTGGTCTTCCAATGCTCGCAACACCATTTGCCATCTGCTCCACAGAACAGTAGCGCCTCCCACGTTCGCTTACGGAGGCCTGTCAGACCTGGCGCCTCCCTGACTTTGGGCCACACAGCGCTCTGTCTCACCTGTGAGCCGAAACCTAGGTGACACGCCTAACTTGGGGCCCGAGGCTCAGTACCAGCACCTTACAACACACTGTAACAACATAGCAGGAACGCTTTTATTTTCAAGCACATACTTAATCTTATTCATTGTTAATTTCCTTTTTGGTGAAAATATACCAAAAAACCAAACTCATTGCCATCAAGTCGATTCCGATGCACAGCGACCCCCATCTGGTTTCCAAGGCGATAAATCTTTACTGAAGTAGATTGCCCCATGTTTCTTCCATGGAGTGGCTGGTGAGTTTGAACTGCCAACCTTCTGGTCAGCAGACAAATGCCTTAGGCACTACACCACCAGAGCTCCTTGGTAAAAATATACACACACAAAAAACAGACCCAACCATTTCTACGGGTACCACTCAGTACGCAGATGACAGTTCTCAGGTGGTTAAATGGGTATTTCCTGTTTTACTCCCCACCACGTCAGCCCTGCAGGGGTGAACACTGATGCCGCACCATCCACCATCAGCCTTACCTTGGTGTGCTACTCTTACGTGTTTCAGGAGCTCCGTCCATGTTTTTGCCACAAAGGAACATTCCTTTTGACACTTATAGCCTATTTAAAAAATAAATACATAAATAAGATACTTTTTTAAAAAAATTAATTGGTGTATTTTATGAATGCTCAGTATCAATGCTGACTCATAGTTACAAGGAAACTTACACGGATACATGACTTTCTCCATCTCTCAAAAGTACTGTACTGTACTGTACTGTCACTCTCAAGCAAACCTGTAACCCAATTGCTGTTAATTCCCATTCATGGCAACCCTAGAGACATAGTAGAACTGCCCCATAGAGTTTCTAAGGCTGTCAATCTTCACAGAAGCAAAGCCCAAACCACACCCACTGCCCTGGAGTCAATTCTGACCCACAGCGCCCCTAGAGGACAGAGTGGAACTGCCCCAGAGGG